TACTGTATGTGAGTTATATCTCAGAAAAGCCACTGAAACATTTAACTTGAAGGGCACCTGGGTGGCTCAGTCAGTTAGGCATTTGACTTTGGTGCAGGTCATGGTCTTGGGGTCCAGGGATGGGAGCCCCACGTTTGGCTCCCAACTCAGCGGGGAGTCTGCCTGAGATTCTCTCTCTCCCTCTGTCCCTCCCCCTGCTCTGTCTCTCTCTCAAATGAATAAATAAATAAAATCTTTTAAAAAATTGCTGGAGGGGCGCCTGGGTGGCTCAGTCGTTAAGCATCTGCCTTCGGCTCAGGTCATGATCCCAGGGTCCTGGGATCGAGCCCCGCATCGGGCTCCCTGCTCAGCGGGAAGCCTGCTTCTCCCTCTCCCACTCCCCCTACTTGTGTTCCCTCTCTCACTGTGTCTCTCTCTGTCAAATAAATAAATAAAATGTAAAAAAAAAAAAAAAAACTGCCAGAGGGATGCCTGGGTGCCTCAGTCGGATGGGCGTCTGCCTTTGGCTTGGGTGATGATCCTGGGGTCCTGGGACTGAATCCCGCATCGGGTTCCCTGCTAGGTGGGGGGCCTGCTTCTCCAATTCATTGTAAAGAAATTAGATCATCAAATTTTTGCCTAGATATCCTGGATGAGGTATAGTGGCCACATTCTCAGTAAGAGGAACTATAATCACTAAAATTTGTTATCATTAAAAATGGGGCGCCTGGGTGCCTCAGTCGTTAAGCGTCTGCCTTTGGCTCAGGTCATGGTCCCAGGGTCCTGGGATCGAGCCCCGCATCGGGCTCCCTGCTCGGAGGGAAGCCTGCTTCTCCCTCTCCCACTCCCCCTGCTTGTGTTCCTGCTCTCACTCTCTCTGTCAAATAAATAAATAAAATCTTTAAAAAAAAAAAAATGTTTAGCTTCGGGGCACCTGGGTGTCGCAGTCAGTTGAGCACCCAACTCTTGGTTTCAGCTCAGGTCATGTCTTGGGGTCACAGGATCAAGCACCACTATCGGGTTCTGTACTCGGGGCAGAGCCTGCTTGGGCTTCTCTCCTTCTCTTTCTTTCCCTCTGCCCCCATTTCCTCCCCCTGCTTTCTCTCTTCCTCTCCCAAATAAATAAATAAATAAATCTTAAAAAAAATATTTAGCCTCATTATTGATTGGAGAAGTACAGGAAGAAGGCACTACTTGACCACACCCAGTAAGGGTGAGGGCGCGGAAACAGGAACACTCCCTGACTGCTGGCACCTGGTCAGAGGAAACCCCCAGATCCCACCTCCTCCCATTTCCACACCTCGGCACCTGCCCGGCCTCCAGGACCCAGAGGTGCTCACACACACGCACCAGGATTCAGAGACCAGAGCTTGGCAGCTGAGTTACTCGTAGAAGCAAAACCCTGCGGACCACCAGTGTGGCCCCGGCAAGGAGAACGAGATGGGCTGGGCTGCACCTTACCAGTGGAAACAAACGCACTCGAGTTCCACACGCCACGGGCACGGTGCAGGAACGTGAGGAATGTGAGGGACGGTCACACAAGAAATTACATCATGGTGGTCCCACTTAAACACACTCAAAAAGGGGTATACAAGCGGTACAAGAAAAAACAAGGAATGAACCCGTCAGAGGGAGCTCCCTAGGGTCTTTTTTTTTTTAGATTTATTTATTTGAGAGAGAGAGAATGAGAGACAGAGAGCACGAGAGGGAAGAGGGTCAGAGGGAGAAGCAGACTCCCCGCCGAGCAGGGAGCCCGATGCGGGACTCGATCCCGGGACTCCAGGATCATGACCTGAGCCGAAGGCAGTTGCTTAACCAACTGAGCCACCCAGGCGCCCCTCCCTAGGGCTTCTATAGCACTGATAAATTTTTTTTTTTTTAAGATTTTATTTATTTGACAAAGAGTGGGGGGGGGGGAAATGCACACGCATGCGCACAAGCAGGGGGAAGAGGCAGAGAGAAAGGGAGAAGCAGACTCCCCACTGAGCAGGGAAGCCAGACTCGGACTCAGGGCTCGATCCCAGGACCTTGGGATCATGACCTGAGCCAAAGGCAGATGATTCACCAAGAGAGCCACCCAGGCGCCCCTCCAGCTGCATTTTAAAAGCTGTTAGAGAGCTGTGGGCATATGATGCAAAATTTCTGCAGCGTATGGGGTGGAATGTGCACGTGTTTAAACTGCACGAGGCAGCACCCAAGCTGGAGACTTCTTAAGGACAAAAACCGAATCTCCCAGTCTTTAGGGCCAAGGAGACAAAAGTGCAAAGTCTGGAGGACTATACTCTATGGAAAGGCAAGAATCAGCAGCAGAGTCTTACACAGATGCGGGTCAGACCTGACCCAGCGAAGTACTGCATCAATGTAGTGGACAGCCCGTCACCCCAGTTCCCTGCTGAAGGAAGGGGCGGCCCTTTCTGGTGGAAAGGTCCTCCAGGGTCTGTGGCTCTTTAATATGCCATGACCAGCACACAACAAAAACTTCCGAGAAGAAAAAACAGACAACAGCTGCAAACCCACAGATGATACATGTGCTGGACTCAAGGGTCTGAAAATACGTGATCACAACCCATAATTAGAAGGGGAAAAAAAAATCAAAACTGATCCAGAAATGACAGATTTAGTAGATAAGGACCTTAAAATGCTCATTATAACTGCATCGCAAATGTGCATACAGTCGAGTAGAGACCTACGAGCACCGGGCGAAAGCTGCAGCGGTGACAGTCACAGTGACTGGGCCACACAGTTTGCTAGCCAGGAGCGGCCACAGCCCAGACACACACAAGTCAGCACGAACAGGTGGCAGAACTCAGCAACGCAGACTACCCAAAATGAAGCACAGAAAGAAAAAAAAAATGACGGGACACCTGGGTGGCTCTGTTGTTGGGTGACCGCCTTCGGCTCAGGTCATGGTCCCAGGGTCCCGGGGTCGAGCCCCGCATCGGGCTCCCTGCTCCGCGGGGAGCCTGCTTCTCCCTCTCCCTCCGCTGCTCCCGCTGCTTGTGCTCTTGCTCGCTCTCACTCTCTCCTCTCAAATAAATAAAATCTTAAAAAAAAAAAGACAAATAAAGTGAAGAGAGCACCAGGGAGCTGTGGGACGACTTCAAGCAGCCAAATACATGGAGTCCCCAAAGGAGATGGAGGAATCAAAACCAACAACAAACCACCAAAACCAAAAAACCAAAAGATATTAAACACCTGGCATCCACAGAATTCTAAAGATGGTCCTGAAAAATCTCCCAGCCTCCTCCCCAGGACTGTAACTAAGACAAGAGCTCGTGCCCACGGACACATTCCCTTACGTGGCAAAGGGGATTTTGCAGGTGTGATTAAGGTCACTAACCCACTGACTCTGACGTCGGGAGAGGACTTCGGGGCAGCTGTGCGGGCCGGATGGATCAGCAAGAGACTGTCGAGCACGCCCGGGCAGCGGCGGTCAGAGAAGCACACCCCTGCGGGCCTGTGGGCAGAATCAGCAGACCACCGTGCTGTGAGCAGCTGCGGGGCTGGATGCCCAGGCGCCCGGGGCCGCCAACACGGCACACTGCAAGTCATCAGATCAGAGCCCGACCAACACCACGGTGGCTGAGCGAAGCCCAGAGCCCGACCGGGGGGCTGTGAACGAGCACACGAGGGTGGTCTTGAGGCCAACCGGTGTACAGCTACTTGTTACGGCAGCAACACAAAATGAATACAGTGGCCAAAAAAATGACACAACTCACAGATCCAAGAAGCTCAACAAACCCCAAATGCAGGACACATGAGGAAAACTACCCAAGCCCATCAAGACCAAGTTGCTAGAACGCAGTAATAAGAAGAGAACATAAGGGGCGCCTGGGTGGCTCAGTCGTTAGGCTTCTGCCTTCGGCTCAGGTCATGATCCCAGGGTCCCGGGATCGAGCCCCGCGTTGGGCTCCCTGCTCAGTGGGGAGCCTGCTTCTCCCTCTCCCACTCCCACTGCTTGTGCTGTCAAATAATAAACAAACAAACAAAAAAAGAAAGAAAGAAATAGAAAGAGAACATAATGGGACGCCTGGGTGGCTCAGTCGTTAAGCGTCTGCCTTCGGCTCAGGTCATGATCCCAGGACCCTGGGATTGAGCCCCACATCGGGCTCCTTGCTCAGTGAGGAGCCTGCTTCTCCCTCTCCCTCTACTGCTCCCCCTGCTTGTGCTCTCTCTCTCTCTCTCTGACAAATAAATAAATAAATAAATAAATAAAAAAGAGAACATAAAAAGCCACCAGTAGGAGAAGTCCCATTATGGAGGGAGGAAGCCCTGACAGTGACAGCCGGCTTTCCCGCTGGAAACGCCCAGAGTCTAGTAACAGGGGAGCCAACCTGTCAACCTAGAATTCTTTATACAGTGAAAACAGTCTTCAAAATGAAGACAAGGTACCCTTCAGGCAGACAAAAGCAGCCTTGCGCCGGGAGAGACAACTGAAGGAATTGTCCAGGCAGCAGGCCGGTGCCAGAGAGAAACCAAGTCTGCCCAATCGGGAAGCAAGAAGGTGCCTGGCCTGTAAGCAGGAACAACTGCCAAGCTGAGGAGGAAAACAGACTGTCCGGTCCTAGAGGGAAGCACCTAACTCCTACATGTTCAAACAGGACATTCTTCAATAAAAATAGCTTTTATAGCTCTCACAAGAAACAAAGATTTAGAAACGAACAATGATGTGTCTAAATTGTTAACTCACACTTTGGTGCCCTGAGAGCCCACGTACCGACCCCACAGCTCCGTTCTTGACTCCTGCTGAGGCTCTGATGTACCCAGACTCCTTATGTTCAGAAACGGAAACCGTGTCTGTGTTGCAACGGTTTGATGCGGTGTCCTATATCCCCAACCCCGTGTGCGTTCGCGCTCCTTTCGGTGAGAAACCCCGGACGTGCTCTGGAATGCCTTTAAGCACAAGGCAGGCTCTGAACTGCCACAGGGGACCAGCGGCTGGCAGGACCACGGAGTCTGACGCAGGTCAGCGTTCACAGCGTTCTCCGTCCGCCACTCCCCCTGCGCCTCGGTGGTCTTACCTTATAGAACACGTCGGGCACGTACTGCTCGCTGCTGGACTCCTTGGCGTAGCCGAGCTCGGGGGCATCCTTGCAGGGAAGGAGGCACTCGTCACGGACCAGGGCCATGCACTGATTGGACACCTGGTACCCTTCAAAGTGGACCTGGTTGTCGGGACCACCTGCAAGAGAGAGACCTTCATGGAGAATCCACCAGAGGAGATTCAAGCCAAGTCTGTATGTGTTCCTCACCACTTCGGACCCACAGAACAAATAAATCCTCAAGACTCTATCTTGGGTAGGAATTCAAAAGCATCTGACGGCAACCTGACAAGTGGCCTGAGCACACGGCCTGGGACGTGGGGCACGGAGGCACCACCACAGCTCCTCCAACAGGTCTCTACTCCCCACCCCAACTGCGCGCCATGTCCTCAAGTACCAGGGACGTGAATGGCAGACAGCACCCCGCATCCCAGAAAACTTTTGCTCCTGAGTGGACGGAACGGGGGAATGGAGGTGGACGGGACAAATGGTGAAAACCAAGCCAGTGTTTGTACCGTGGTCTCTGCCCTCCAGATGCCCGCACAGCCGCCACACTGTCTTCCAGCACCACACTCGGGAGGTGTGGACACTGCTCCCGAGCCGGGGCCACTGCATTCACTGTGCCGTGCGCTGCCCCGCGTGCCTTTCACCCCTAACCTCTCCACCATCACGCCATAAACCCTCCCCTGTGACTTCAAATTAGGGATGTGGATAGTGCAAAAGCCACTGAGAGGGAAGCATCCAGTAAGTTCAACGGAGCAGGCACCTGGCTGAGATCCTCACGAGAAGGACCAGCACCCTGTCGAAGGCAGGCCCTGAGCAGAAGAGGGAAGACCAGACGGTGGGGACAGCTGACTTCCACCACCACACACACGTGCACTTGCACCATCGGGTTAGGCTCTGACGATGCGAATGTCTGTTATCATTTCCAGCTTTGGAGAATTAAAGAAAAACCCTCAACATCTCTATTTTAGTTTCTTTGACAAAAACAAAATAATTTACTGATCAGGGAATAGAAATTTTTTCCATCTGGCTTTCAAGCATTTACCAGAAACCAGACCTGGTGGCCAAACCAGAGAATGTGAAGGGCAGGGGCAGAACAGCCTAGGAGGGGACAAGCCAGGGGCCTGCCATCTGCTCAGCTTCACGCACCAGAGGCTGACAGTAGCCGGCTTCCCAAAGCGCAGTCAAATGGACTCCAGAGGCCCAGTGGACAACCAAGCCTAGCATCTCTCTGTCCCTCACTCACATACTCAGGCGAGCTGGCCATGACCACTCCCTAATGTCAAGGCCGCGGATGCAGGGCGCATCATCCCCTGCTGTGCTTGGGGTTGGTGGGGGGTGGGGGTGGTGGAAAGCAACATCAGGGGTCCCTGGGTAGGGCAGTCAGTTAAGTGTCCAACTCTTGGTTTCGGCTCAGGTCATAATCTCAGGGTCGTGAGATCAAGCCCTGAGTCAGGCTCCGAGCTCAGCAAGGAATCTGCTGGAGTTTCTCTCTCTCTGCCCCTCCACACATGCACTCTCTCTCTCTCTCTCTCAAATAATTTATTTTTTTAAAGATTTTATTTATTTATTTCACAGAGAGCGAGAGTAGGAACACAAGCAGGGGGAGTGGGAGAGGGAGAAGCAGGCTTCCCTGCGGGGCAGGGAGCCCGATGTGGAGCTCAATTCCAGGACCCTGGGATCATGACCCAAGTCGAAGGCAGACGCTTAACAAATGAGCCACCCAGGCGCCCCTAATTTTTTTTTTTAAAGCAACATTAATCTGGGGCACCTGGGTTGCTCAGATGGTTAGGCATCTTCCCTTCTCAAGTCAATCTGCCAAGGAAACCTGCACGTGGGAGGAAAGGGCCTGTAGCAGAAGAACTCTGTGCCTGGGACACAGCCTCAGGAAGGGACTCTCACGGCCCAGAGACATGGGTGGCCAGCCCACCAAGACAGGGAGTTTAAACTTAGGCTCAATGATGCATTCTCCTTCCACTAGATCCTTCAGGTTCACACATAAACCCCACAGTTAATCATGGCTCTCTTCCTCCACCAGTCTCAAGCTAGAGTTGTCCTTAGCAGGGAGAGGCAAGGCCAAGCCTGCAGCTTCAGCAGCAGCTCTCAGGGAGCTGCAAGCACAGTGCCTGCAGAAGCACCATAAATCCCAGATGCAACGGTCAGTCTCCTGGGAGATGGCCACACACAGGGGGACGGACGGACGGACGGACACACACACACACACACACACACACACACACACACACACAATCTGCTCCTTCCTGGCCCATCGGGGACTCAGGGATGGGGTACGGCAAGCGCAGCTCAAACAGCTCCACGGGGCAGCAGCACGTTCCTGGTCAAGAGCCACTGACGCGGGGGAAAAGCACACTTTGTTTGGAGGTCCAAGATGTGCGACTAGTGTGGATGGCTGCCCCTCCGCTGGCCGCCCCTGGGAGCCGGAGAAAACTGTGAGCCTGAGCTCATCGCAGGGTTCGATCAGGGGACAAGTCAGGAGAGAAATGCAGGGACTCTAACTGCAGATCTTATTGTAAGTTATTTACTGTCTATAGTTCCGAAACCTCTCAGTAAACTGGCAATTCTGAAGGAAAAACTCCACAGATGATCTATACTCTCCAACCTCCCAACAAGAGCTATGAATCAGTAATTGAAGGTACGGGCAGCCCCCAAGTAGAAACTATTTATAATCCTAAAAATGTGCCAGTTCCTTTGGCCCATTGAATTAACTCCCCATAGACCAAGTAATTAAAAGGTCTAGGTTACCATGGGAGCCCTTGGAAACCTAAGACAGCAGTTCTGGAATCCATGAAAGTAATTTTTGGTTGCACTCAACAATAGGGCACAGGGCTGGGGGGGGGGGGGGGCAGCCGAAGTGGAAGAGGTCGGACACCCTGCTGTGTTTGGGGGAGTCCCATACAACAAAGGCCCATTCCACATCCCACACAACCTTGAATGTGCCCTGCACACTCTTATAGGCAAAAACCCCCATGTATGATCTCAGATTAAAATCAATTGTATTTTAGGGGCACCTGGGGGGGGCTCAGTTGGCTAAGTGTCTGCCTTCATGGGTCCTGGGATCAAGCCCCGTGTCAGGCTCCCTGCTCAGTGGGGAGCCTGCTTCTCCCTCTCCCTTTGCCCCTTCCCCTGCTTGTGTGTCTCTCTCTTAATAAATAAAATCTTAGAAAAGAAGAAGAATCAACCATTTTTTATACAGAAGCACAAAAACAAATATGCAGTGTTGATCCAAGGTAAATTCTCTAGGAGTGTGGTAGCAAGTCAGTGGAGGGAAAGGGACACGTTCAGCTCAGCACTTCACGGGGGGCCAGTAAGCATCTCAGGGAAGAGTGGCACTGGCACCAGTGAGGTCTGCGCACGGCTGTCAACTCTGGCTCAGTCACTGTGTCGTCCCACCAGGCATCAGTCCCCAAGCACTGGCGTGCGCAAGTATACTACTCTGTGTTATGGTCGGGTGGCCACTCTGCTTCCTCTGGTACGTTCACATGTGCAGAGAGGTATATCACCTGTGAGTTTTACTCTCTGGACAGTAAAGGGTATCACAAAGGATCCTGAACAAGGGGTTTTCAAAAGGGAGTGTCTGATATGTTTGAGAACCACCAGTCTAAGCAACTGTACCCAGAACATCTGCCTAATGTGTTGCGGGGAGTGAAAAGGTAACACATTTCTCCCCTTGGTCAAATACAGAGCAGGCGTGGTGAAATTCCAAATGATGCGAAAGCTGCCTCCTCCCTGCTCCTCTCCCCGGCGTCCAGTCTGAGCCGCTCTCCCCAGCTGTCCTCACGGAAGGACCCTGTGCCAAGGAACCACCTTCCTGTAACCCTGGTCAACACTCCCATCCACTCGCTTAAGTACCTGGCCCAACAAGTCCTAGGAAAATAAATCAACTCAACTAATTCACACTAGCATGTGAAAGATGCTGCCACTGCCTCTCACTCTTCAAAAGGACATTCATCTCAAAAAAAAGTGACCGTCAATCCAAATGGATCTTAAAAACGAGGGCAGTGTTTTTCTTCATGGTTCTCATGACAGTCCCCTCAAATGGGATTAATAGGGGATCCAGTTACTTACAAACACGTTTGGGCTACTTGTAAACTGATCTTTGTTAAATTGGGGGTGCTTCTTTCTATGGAACTAGGGGAAGGATGGCTACCATGAACAAACTGGGTTGCCAGTTCAGTGAGAGTAGAAACCAGGTCTTCACAGGATCCAAGTTAGTGTTTACTTCAAAAACATTACCAAAGAGACTATGCTTTCACGAGTTAGTTCTCCAAGTTTAAAATTCCCGCTCTTTTTAAATTGTATAGTCCTATGACCTGTTTTTTTCTAAGACAACATATGTTAAGCATGTTATAAAAGATTTGGTGGCACCTTATAGGCAATTTTTTATTGTGTATTTATGATGTACATAGCACGGAATACAATACACGTATTATCTCTCACTCACACACACACACACAACACACACACACTCAGAAATGGTCTTAAAATGACTCCCACTCATAATGTCAAAAATAAAGAACAGGGGCGCCTGGGTGGCTCAGTTGGTTAAGCGACTGCCTTCGGCTCAGGTCATGATCCTGGAGTCCCGGGATCGAGTCCCACATCGGGCTTCCTGCTCAGCAAGGGGTCTGCTTCTCCCTCTGACCCTCTTCCCTCTCATGCTCTCTCTCTCTCATTCTCTCTCTCTCAAATAAATAAATAAAATCTTAAAAAAAATAAAATAAAAAATAAAGAAAGAAAGAAAGAACAAATAGTAAACCCTTTTCTCCTACACAGCCAGACAGTCATCTGTGGCTACTGGAAGGGGTAAAGGCAGTCCTGAGCTAAGATCCAGAATCAAGCTGACTTCACCTTAGAACACGAGAGGATGAGAAAACAGCTACACTGAGTCCCGGATTCTAGTGGTTTTGTGGGTGATGCAGTAAGTTCAGGATTTTTACCATAAAACAAAAAGAGGAATCCATGTCCCACAGGCACATTAAGAAAATCTCTTGTAGCTGAGTTACAAATGAAACACTACAAGAAGAGGAACAGAATACGTACCTGTAGCCACCGCAGTGACGAACTTGGAGCCAAAATGTCCGTCTGGAGAGAGTCGACATATGTTAGGATGCTTATTTTGGAAGTCTCCTGCAGTGATACATTCTTCCGAACTCAGAAAATAGGTGTCCTAGGAAAAGAGAGCTGGCATATCAAGTTTTACAGCATCATGTGGAAACATACTCCTGTTTCTTCTTTAGAAAACACCAAGAACTAAACTGTGGCCTGTCAAACACCGCATGAAACAAACACCTAGAGTTCCTAGCTGTTACGGGCCCTTCCACTCCCACCACAAATAATCAGGAAGGCCAGAACCATCAGGCACCCACCCCCACGGGCTGACCTCCAAAAAACACTGGTGGGTAAAGGCCAGGGGGTGTTGCTCTACAAGACACAATCAACAGACCCACCCTTAGTTTATCAAGAACACAGAGTTGAAAATAATTTGGTCTAAAAGCCAGGATGAGGGATGCCTGGGGGGCTCAGTGGGTTAAGCATCTGCCTTCAGCTCAGGTCATGATCCCAGGGTCCTGGGGTCAAGCCTCGCATCGGGCTCCCTGCTCGGTGGGAAGCCTTCTTCCTCTGCCTCTGCCTGCCGCTCCCCCTGCTTGTGCTCTCTCTCTGTCTGACAAATAATAAATAAATAAAATCTTTAAAAAAAAAAAAAAGCCCAGATGAGCCGTGCAGAGCCGCCCTGCCAGCATGAGCCCGAGCTGGCTTGTGACCAAGCTGCAGGCTGAGCTAAGTGGGCATACCCCCGTCCCACCTCACCTTATTCCGGCTGTACCGGACGGTGCCCTTCCGGGTGTCTTCTGAGACGAGGTCTGTAAATATCCAGCCAACCTGCATGAAAAAGTAAAGTATCCTCTGAGCCTCTCCCTGAAACAGGTGATGAATGTTTTCTGGCCTCTGTGCAGAGACCTGAAGAGCGTTTTGGTAAGAGACTCCTGGGAGCCAGTTCTTTCCAGGTGACTCAGATCCTCAGCTAAGCTGCCAGGGTTTTCAAACTCCACCCAGTTGAAAACGGCCATCCTCCTCTGGTGCTGCTGGACTGGAGGTGATGGTACATGAGCAGAGCTCATCTCTTTGTAAGAAGCCCCATGGCACCAACTCTGTACGCAGCACTGTGTCGGGTTCAGGGGAAACCCCAGCAGTGAACAAGATCAACAGAATGCCTACGCCCCAAATAGGAAGACAGACAATGAGCAAGCAAAGAGAGACAATGCTATTTCAGATGCTAAGGCTTTCTCTGTAAGATAAGAAAATGGACTCCCTAGAGAAGGCACTTAAAATAAGGACCACCACCACAGAGTCCTTACCCAGGGCTCCTTCGTGCTCCGCTACAAGACTGAAGAGAGCAGGTGAGGGCACAAGGAGCTGAAACCCCCAACACTAGGGCATCCTCACGCCAGTCCCGGACACCTGTCTGTGTGCTCTGTGGTCCCTAGCCCTCCTGTGTCCATGAACCTCACAGCTGGTTGCCCCTCCTAAACCAGAACCGGGCTGGGAGGTTTACGAGCGGGGTTGGACCCCAAGTACACGTCCTTTGGAGAAGGACATGGTGGCCCATGACCCTGTCCAGCAGAACCTGATACAGAACTCTTCAAATCCATCTCATGCACACAAGACCAGGCAAACGTGGAGAATTTCGCTTTAAAAATACGCAAGCAAACAAAAAGCCCATGGAGGATGTGGCAAAGAACAGGAGACTTGCAGTATAAATGGGTCGAAGCAGTGAGCAGAGCAGAGCCAAAGCCGAGGTCAGCTAGGACAGCAGAGCCAGGGTTTCAGAGAAAGACACTTAAGTCACCTCGAGATCTATTAGAACTACAGTGATCGTGAACAATATATTTAAAACAAAGGTCCAAAAGTTACACTAATTTCTCTTTTGAACAAGAGAAACTAAAAAAATTTAAACCAAAATATAACCCTAAATCAAGATGCTGACTCCTGGGGCGCCTGTGTGGCTCAGTCAGTTAAGTCTATGACCCTTGATCTCAGCTCAGGTCATGATCTCAGGGTTGTGAGTTCAACCCCCACGTTGGGCTGTACACTGGGTGTGCAGCCTACTTTAAAAAAAAAAAAAAAATGCTGATTCCTTACTAGAAACAATAGGACATTGTTTTCTTAAAATGACTTGGCTCTATAAGCTCCTAGGCTTACAAACATATTCCCTATTTTCCCCCTTTTGTCTATAGGAGTTCATTTTTCACTAAGTTGATTAACAAATAAAGGATAAAACTTATGGGGCGCCTGAGTGGCTCAGTCGGTTAAGCGTCTGCCTTTGGCTCAGGTCATGATCCCAAGAGTCCTAGCACTGAGTCCCGCACTGGGCTCCCTGCTCAGAGGGAAGCCTGCTTCTCCCTCTCCCTCTGTCTGCTGCTCTGCCTACTTGTGCTCTCTCTCTCTGTCCAATAAGTAAAGAAAATCTTTAAGAAAAAAAAAAAAGGATAAAACTTACATAGCTAACATTGAAATTCTAAGAGATATTCAAATTCACATTCAATATTTACCTGTAGAAACCCTTCTGCAAAGTTCCTGGGAGCTCCACCAAGGATGTAACACAAACCAGATCAACAAAAGTTCTTCCCTGTCTTCTAACTGCCCAGTAAAACTAGGAAACCTCACATGCTCAGATACCTAAATTAACAACAGGAAATCCAAGGATGACGGAAGAGGGAGTGCCAGAGGCTCCAAGCACCCGGGGCAGAAAACGAACGGGCAGCAAGGACACATGAAGAGAGGGCTCCCCTAAGAGGCCGGGCCTCGGTGTGCGGGCAGGACACACAGCACAGCAGCAAAGCTCCTTCCTGGGCAGGAAGAAGGGGTCTGGGTCCTGCTGTCTCTTTCTTCCACCCTCTAAAGCTGTCCTCAGGAAGTAGGGCAGGCCGATTTCAACAGAACAGTCCCAGCACAGGGATCACTTGTTTTCATTTTACTCTAAATCAGAGAAATAGTCTCATTCTATTTTGAATCCTCGGATCTGAAATAGGAACATAAAAGCTACAGCGCCCGGAAAACACAAGCAAGCATTACAACACGCTGGGCCCACACCTGACCTGGAGCAGCTGGGAGTTCAGTCCCAGACAAGGCCTGGCCATGCCGCCCACCTGTATGTCCCCAACAGAGAGCCCTGGTCCCCCATTCAAAGGCCAGCAGAATGCCTCAGTACCTTCCTCAGGCCAAGCTTGGCAGCAATTTCATCTACCACCTCAGCTTTCGGGTCTTCCAGAAGCTCCAGGCTGTTCTGTGTGCCAATCTGTCAGGGCAATAAAGGGAGAAGACAGACTCAGAGGAGCCCACAGCCATCCCACTCGAATTCTGGCTCAGGAATCCCAAGGGGCACCACTCTATCCCTTGCCAAAAAAGGAGAATTATGGCAGCAGAAAAAGGTTGACATCCAGATAAAACATAGTCTGAGCCCTCCAGGCTTTGCCCCTCCTCAGGCTACATTGTGCTTTCCAATCAAGACTCAGAGGACAAGAAGATGGTGACATTCAAGCTGGTTCACATCACACAGTCTCTCTTCAAGCATGTGGTTGCTCTCAGGACTAAGGAAGGCTGTCTACACATTTTTTTTGGTGGGTTCCTTCACTGGGGAAAGTCAGTTTCAAAACTCCTTCGGATAAACAGTTTCCTTCCAAATAGGTTTGGGTACATTAGGCAAGATTCCACCAAATGTATGGTAACATTTGTTTCCAGCAAACAGGCTGGGAAAATTTGTGTGCAGCTCCTGCAGGGATAGTGATGAGCTTCACAGGCAAGGTACTGAGTGGGAGATGACAGAGGAATGGAAAAGGCACCTGAAATCAGCAACCCGCTGGTTGATGGGCAGAGCACTGGGCTCAGGGCAGCAGGTGGGCTTGGACTCTGACTGGCTCACATGCAACCTAAACCGGCCACAGGACCCCAACTTCCTGCAGTGGACAAAGCTTACCGAAATCCTTCATCTGCCCTGAAATGCAGTTCGAGGGTCATTAATAGTTAAGTATCATACCTAGCAGAAACCCCAGCCAAAGGAATAGGAAAATGAAGGTAATCCCAAACCAAGTTATACTAATTGGGTATATCCTTGCAAATGAGTCAGATTCTGGCAAAACAACAAAAGAATTTTCTGTTGCTGGGTATTAGCAATATGGAGATCGTTAATACCTCCAGAGCACAGGTCACATCACAAACTCAGAACAAATCTAAGGATCTGGTTTCAGGACCTGTGGCAGCATGAGCTTCAACTTCTAATGAGCTGCAGGTTATTAGAGGTCAATGGTTCCAACCTTCAGGATTCCCACGTTGGGAGCTCTGGTGATGCCGTTCGTGGTCTGGACGCCAGAGGTTTCTGTCTCTGTGTTTTATTCAATCATACTCCTAACACGACTGCTGAAACTTCTCATGAAAGACAGCCTCTACAAAACTGAATCTGAATATATTGTGCTTCCAAAAGCAGCTCCATGATTACAGAGAGCACACTTAGTGCCCTGGCGGTTAGGTAACCCCGACACTCTGGCAGGGTCTCCATCGCCACCTAGTGTCCCCTTTTAAATGAACCACCACATAAGGCCCCCCTCAAACACCTCCTCTACAGCTCTCAGTAAATATGGAAACTGGCAAAGGGGTGTAGACTACACTCAAGCTCTGCATAAATGCAGCTAGGGAAACAATGGCATGTGTGCGGGAGCCACGGACCAGCACCCCAGCCAGCAGCCACGGGGCCTGCCCTTTCAGACCCTGGTTTACTTAAGAAGTCGGCTGGTCATGGGGTGATTCACAGAACACAGTGTAAGGTGACCAAGGTGAGTATGGTATAGCATATACCCAAAGAAAAAAGGAGAGTGGTATGGATATCTATATATTTGCTTATATTTTAAAAACTTAAACTTTAGAAGTCTACACCAAACATTCTGGAAAGAGAGGGATAGGAAGAAGGGGGTACCTTGTTTGTAGATCTGACTTTGGAAGCGTGCAAAATTTTTTTCTTTTCCAACATTTTAACTACAAATTTCAAACATATAGCAAAGTTTAAAGAATTTCTCAGTGAAGACCCACATACCTACTATCTATATTTGGCCATACTCTACTCTATCCACCCCTCTAATCACCCCAAGCCCTCTTAGTTTTCTGTTGTACTTCATAGTAAACTGCACACACAAGCACCCCTCCCAAGTATTTCACCATGCACATCATGGACTAGAATTCCATGTTTATGGTTTCCACTTTTGTAATGAATATGTATATATACATCATATACATATATGTGATGAAACGTACCATGTAAACATTTCACAGAACTATACAACAAATATATACATAAAAAATCAATCCGGGACGCCTGGGTGGCTCAGTAGATGATACAAGGTATTTATGAATGGGGGTAGTTAATTGTGTAGGGCTGTGGTTCTTAAAAGTGTGATTCCCCAGACCTGCAATAGGAATGTGAACACTATTAGCAACGCAAATCCTTGGCCCCACCCCAGACCTACGGAATCTTGCAACTGTCCTTAAACATCTGCCTTAGGCTCAGGTCATGATCCTGGGGTCCTGGGATCGAGTCTCGCAGTGAGCTCTTTGCTCAGCAGGGAGCCTGCTTCCCCTCTGCTTGTACTCTGTCTCTCAAATAAATAAATAAAATCTTAAAAAAAAAAAAATCAATCGCTAAATACCGAAAATAAAACAAATGAACATAAATGTGTTACCTAGGTGGTGGCACAGTCATACAGAGGGCACCTTCCAAGTGACCTTAAAACACAGTATGACTGCTGGTCCCTCATGAGACACACCCTGAGGATCCTCCTCCTTCCACCAAAAAAAACAAAACAAACAAAAACAAACCCCACCTTCAACTGTGTTCAGTCCTATACTGGCAGTAATTCTGGTACTGTCATTCTAAGACAGCTGTGTGGGGCGGGGTGAAGGACACAAGTAGCCCTGTGAGCCTCTCACTCCATCATTTCTGGGAGAGCAGACCGCAGACGTGGGCGAAGGACATACAGAATTACAAGGGAGGGGGCAGTCCGTGTGGCACTTTGGGGCAACTGACAGAAGTGGAACACAGCCAACAGATTAAAATATTCCGTCAGTGTTCGATCTACCGACATTGACAAGAGTCCTTATTATCAGTAAGACAACGTCCTTACGCTCTGGAAATGCACACTGAAGTATTTAGGGACCATGAGCTTACCCTCCAAGAGTTCAGAAAATAGACAGTGCGTGTGCGTGTGTGTGCGCGTGTGTGTGCGCGCGCGCAAATGACAGAGCAAAGAAGTGGAATGAAGTCTGAAACGAGAGTCCCGCACAGCCTTCAGAGCCCAGGTGATAGAGAGGCTGGTGAACTGGGAAGCCTGTGCTCGCCTACCTGAGGAGGCTCGTAAATGGCAGCTACTTCGGCCCTGATGCCGAGAGGAATGTCTTTGTGCTCTGTATACCGTCCATACAAATACCCGAAATGCTGGTTCCCTGTCTTCCTCCAAAAGTCAAGGAAGCGATCGGCAACTGTGTGGTTCTCAAACATGATATTGTCCACATGTCTGTATTTCTGTAGAGCAAACAATGGGCTAATGAACACACTCTGTTGGAAATAAATTATTTTCTAGTATAAGCCATTCATAAATCTCCACCTAGCTCTTTGCACATGCGCGCACACACATTTTAAAATGTGCTCTGCCCTAAAGACCATTTCAGATTCTACAGGGTGGGTGGGGTACGGGTGGGATTCCTCAATAAATTAATTCAGATTAATCTTACTGGGATTTCACCTAAAATGCAGGTTTTCACAATCTCTAGCACAAAAATTAGTTTTTAAAAAGAGAAAGCAGGGAGAAAGAAGTTTCCAAGCAGTCACAAAGGCGGCGGAGAGCTCTCTACAGAGCAAATGTGGGCCAGCAGTACAGAGAAGGCGAGGTGAGCGATCCTCAAGGGCACAGAGACCAGAGGGGAAGAGGCCAGAACACTGCGTGCAGCTTTCCCTGGTCTCTTCCTCCTCCCAGAGCCCAGCTCCCTTCTTTACCTGGCCTGGAGAGGTGCTCTGAGGGGGCTCCAAGACAGTTTGGTTACCAGCTTCCAGAGCCATGATTTCTTAGAAGGCAAAGTGCAACCACGAAGTTATTTTAAACAGTCACCAAGAAAGTTCGGCCTCCATGCAAGCGGACAAAAGAGGAAACAAAGGACTCCCCCCCCCCACGCGTGCAACAGCTGGCGATCTCACCAATACCACCTCCAGCATATGACCTGAAGCGCACTTGGACCCACCACCGACAGTGTGCTCTGCTAGGGGTGGGTCCCTCCATGGAGGGGCTTTTCTGCAAAGTTTCATTTCTGAGCCATGAACACAAATCTAAGGTCTAGATGGACAATGTGAACATCTCACCTGTCTGTTCAGCGTGATGGCACTTGGCTGGCACTTAGTACAGATGCCGTTAGGCCATGGAAGGTGTCCCTCGCACCCTGATTTAATCTTGCAACTGATGTTCTCCAGAGCAACAAATTTCCCCCTGAATAAGAAGAGGCAGCTTGATTAATTCAGCATCCCAACAGTGAAAACTTTAGCAGGAAACTGGAAATCCTATGTCAAATCTCTTACACCTCCGGAACAAAGTTCTAAGAAGCTAAGCATGTGGCAGGCAGCAGTGGGGGAATGTGCTAAGAATTGCTACTGTGGACTCCCAGCTTCTGTCCTGCACACGGAGACTATGCAGAAATACATAACTGTTTCCCTATAAAAAGTCTCCATTTTCAAGGTCTGTCGCTAACACCCATGAAGATTTTCAAGGATACTATTAAACACCTACTGATCTAACCTGAACCACTGACAGAAAACAAAGCTTGTTTTTAAGTTTCATTAACTTATCGGCAACATCTACATCATGAGTCCAGTACTTACATGTCTGTAAAAAAAAAACTCTGAATCACAAAGAGAAACCCTGATGAGGGTACCTCACAAAGACATCTTCCCCGGCTTCTGGCTGAAATAAAGACTATCCAGCGAGGAAGCCAGGGCCCCACCCCGATGTGGAGTGGATGTGCACAGATGCTTTCACCCTCCGCCAGTTTCCCACTCACAAAACGGTCCAGGAACTCGATCCTGTCTTCAAAGGCCAACAGCATGCTGGCCGGCGGGCCCCTGGGAAGCAATGACCGCCACCAGCCTGCACGGCACCGAGAGCTGCCAATGTCCCCCCATGGGATACTGTGGCCTGGACCCAGACTGGTGGAAGGCTGACGGATTTCAGCATGATGAATCTCTACTCGTTCAATAGTCCAGAAAGTTCCATGGCTTACCCCACTGACAGGCAAGAATGGGTTTCTGGTAGGATTTTTTTCTCGTGGTCTAACTTTTTTAAAAAGCCATTTTAGGATGTCAGCAGGTTGTCAGAGAAAAACTATAATCAGGCCAACATGACATTCTTCACAAAATGTTGCTGACTTGGGTTCAGCCACCATCTCCTCCTGCTGCACTGATGGGAATTATAAAATGGTATGAAGTCCATTACTTTCTGGGAAGGTGAACATATAGTCGTATAGTCAACAGAAAGGGGTCGCACGGGGAAGTCCTTGACATGGTTTAAAAGAAATCAAAATGCTCTCAGTTCACCCCTCTCAAGCCACTGTCACAGCCTGCACTCGGGGAGCCGAGAGATGGCCGCCCCACTGCCCACCTGGCCGAGTCTGTAGACAGTTGCCGTTGAGGCACCACGAGGCCCCGCTGGGGACGGCACGGTTGCTCCAGCCCCTGTGATGGCTGTGAAATCAAGCTGATAAAGGGGCCAGCTCCAGGGCAAAGGGCTGACGGGGGCTGTGGAATACGTGAGCCGAGATAACCACGGGGTGGTTCAGTTTTTCCGAAAAGCAGAGGATGAGCTCTGACCACCATCATACCATATCTCATCTCCCTTCACATACACCTAAGTTGCCAGAGCACCACATGCCCGCGGGAAGTCTGGGATGTTCCCTAGGGGCCTCCAGTGGCCACTGCCAGCCTGGCATCTGCCCAACACGCTGGGCATGTGGATGACAACAGGGCGTCAGAGTCTCCACCCCGTTCCTTTTCTAGAATCTGTGCCAAAAGTCACGAACTCAAGTGCTCTGTGCCCAGACCCTGATCTTTGCTGTTCTCATTCATATGCTCACAGGCTTTAAGCAACACCTGCCAGATACATAAAAGGGACTTCTACATGCCAAAGTCACATCGGCACAGCCTAACTGCGCTCAAGTTGCTTACTTGTCGGCCCCCCCGGTCAGCTTTCGGATGTAGGCGTGGAAGGACATGTGCTTCACAGGAGGTTCAAGATGGTTCAGGTAGTCCTCGTCAAATGGCTGCCAAAACACACACAGTCAGTACGGTCACGCACCTGCTGGCGTCTCGAGGCAAGGAGAGGCGGGCAGCCAAGCCGCTGCTGCACGCAGGGAGAGGCCCAGCCAGCTCCCGTGGAGGGCAGTGGGAGAGGATGGGCCCTTGGTTCTCACTTATCATTGCAGGTCAGAACCAAAGGTTTCTTTGTGTACCAGTGATCTTTCTAAGATTAAAATGAATCTCTATTAAATACAAAATGCTCTAGGTCAAGTAAATATTAGGAAAATTTTGGGGGGGGAAAAAAGTAGCCCATAAAATGAAGAGGAGGCTCATGAAGAAAATCAGGTTGGCCTTGCTGCTGTAAATTCAGCATTCACCAGTTACCAGTCAGCATTATTATGGTAACTCTCAATCTCACCAGGACGAATGAGTAGGAGGACTCGGGAAAAAGTAAATCAAAACAATGACGAGCACAGAAACCGCCAGCCCCAGCTTTGTGTCAGGTTTTAAAAGGATTGCCCAGGGAGCCCACTGCAAGTGCTGCCCCTCGGTCACAGCAACCCAGACGCTCCAGCCATCCGCAATCCACCCAGAAGGTCACTCCCACAAATAAAGGCTCGTCCTCCTGAAGCAGCTTGCACGAGTGGGGACGCGAGGCCCAGGGCAACAAACAGACCCAGCGCAGGGGCGCAGGGAAAGTTCTGATGTGCTCTGAGGAGCAACCCCTCCCGCGAGCCCGGAACGCACGCTGCACCAGCTCTCACCTCGAGTGGAACACAGTGCACACATTTCCCCAAGGGGCCGTGTCGGCACCTAAGAGCACAGGGCAAGAGAAACACACAGCAATTAGCACGCCCGCTCTCCCGCTGCTGCCCCCCCGACGGTTTCTATGCCGCCCTTCACAGAGCATTTCCCAACCTGTGTGGAACTATCTTTTTATTTATTTATTTATTTATTTACTTACTTACTTACTTACTTACTTATTTATTTTTGAATAAACTCAACACCCACAGTGGGGCTCGAACTCATGAGCCTGAATCAGGAGTCTCATGCTCTACGATAGCCTGCCAGGCACCCCCGTGTAGAATTGTTTTAGATGGTACGTGAGCATTTTTTTAAAATATTTTATTATTTTTTTTGACAGAGAGAGACATTGCGAGAGGGAACACACGCAGGGGGAGAGAGAGAAGCAGGCTTCCCGCAGAGCAGGGAGCCCGATGCAGGGCGCGATCCCAGGACCCCAGGACCCCAGGATCATGACCCAAGCCGGAGGCAGACTGAGCCACCCAGGAGCCCACATGAGCATTTTTTAATATAATTTAGTATTTATTTTGATTTGTATTAGAAAAAATCGTCCAGCACGTCAACCCTACGGATATTAACGGCTTAAGATGACACTAAATAAAAGTGAATGGACTAAAACTGATTTAAATAGATGTTAAGTAAACACTGAGGAAGTTGGGATGTGGATGTGGCAAAAAGCCTTGTCAGTGGGACAGAAGGAACTCCAGTTTGAAAAACACCCATTTTGTGCATGTTTTGGGAAAAGCATGAAGATGCCTGGTTCTCTGGGTTTTAGTGACTTCAGTCAGAGAAGCTGTAGAAGCTCCACATGTACGATGTGGCAGCATGATGTGCTCAGATGAGGAGGGTGGTGATGGCTGGTGGGAAAGCTGAGTGGCTGTCCCCCTGGGCTCGACAGGACCCTTTTCTAAATGGGGTCACAACTCCTGGACGCATGTACATTCTACACTTCCAAGCAGATATGGCCTGTGTCTCCTAACAGCCAGGCTCTTACAGACGGCAGGCCAGAACGCACGCACACACGCACACAAGCACCCTCTTAAAACATTCCTACTGAAGCCTCCAAGACACAGATCGTGGGGGGAGCCAGCATGAGTTCCCTGGGAGGAAATGCAAACGGAAGGGGTATGTGGGCTGACGGCGATGGCCACGAAGTGGCTCCGTACCGGGCGCAGCAGAGCGCCATTTGGGGCTCTTGAATCTAAGACACACAAGTTGCTAATGCAGCACTTAGAACCTCAGTATCTCAATGTCAGCACCCCATCATGTTTACAGAGTGATGCGGTTACAAAAGGCTCTACTGCAGAGACAAACAACCTTCACTCAGACATTTCACATCACTGAGTGTAAACTCAGGTGTTTCTAACCGGTTTCTTCAAAAAGAACTACAGGGGCATCCGGGCAGCTCAGTTGGTGAAGCATCCAACTCTTGATTTCAGCTCAGGTCACGATCTCAGGGTCATGGATCAAGCCCCACATCCGGCTCCACGCTCAGTGGGAGTCTGCTTGAGATTCTCTCTCCCTCTGCCCCTCCCCCACACACATGCGCCATGTGCACGCTCTCTCTCCCACTAAGATAAAGAAATCTTTGGGGCGCCTGGGTGGCTCAGTTGTTAGGCGTCTGCCTTCGGCTCGGGTCATGGTCCCGGGGTCCTGGGATCGAGCCCCGCATCGGGCTCCCTGCTCGGCGGGCGGCCTGCTTCTCCCTCTGCCCCTCTCCCTGCTTCTGTTCCCTCTTTCGCTGTGTCTCTGTCAAATCAATCAATCAATCAATCAATCTAAAAAAAACTTAAAGAATTTTTTTAAAAATAAAAAGAACTGCAAAAAGTCACAAATACAGAAACGTACCCCAGCATAACCATTTCACATAACCCTAGGTGAAGGGTAAATATTCAAAGAAGGAGCGGCATGTTTAGCACATGAAGCGGCCATTGAAAAGAATGGGAAGAATGCGCTGTGCATATGACGCTGGCACTTCCTGACTGTAATCCAACAAGGTGACCTGAACAAGCACCTTGCGCTGGTAGGTGCCCAGCATCACCTCTTCCCCGTTGCCCTACTCTTGCCCCACCATACGCCTGCTAAAGCCCGATGCGCCAAACTCAAAACTTGTGTTTCTTCAGTAGATACTCAAACAGGGCACATTTCAAACATCTCACCTCCTGAGCCACTAAAGTCAGCACAACTGGGACCGGACCCCGACAGAGACTTACAGCTGTGGGTCGCGGCTTCTATAAATCTTCCCGTCCTGCTTGCTTAGGTACTGGTCGATCTCATCCTCCACCACGCTGGGAGCACCGCAGGACTTCAGCCCCAGCGGGGCCGACGTCTCCATTTCCGAGGAGGGTCCAGCGAGGCCCGAGGGAAACAGGAACAGCAGATCTCCATGCCTATCAGACGACAAACACAGGGCAGGGCCTGCCTTCTATCCTCCCACAACCTAGGCTGCACAGAGGAGCTGCTCACCATCATGTGAGGGTCTCTGACATCCAAGAGGCAAACGCCAACCTCCCTAAAAGCCTGAATAACGAGGCCTCTAATTGTAAGAGACCAGAATTCTCCCTTCACATCTCTCCTACGCTCCCTAGTGTTCTAAAGGTCAGAGTGGGTTTTCTATTGTAAAACATCCATATGCCCATCGGATTCCACACAGATGAAATACGGCCACAACATACACACTTGGCCTGTAGGCCGTGTTCCTCCTGCTTCTCCTTCTGGGATTGACACTCCTTCCCCTCGTTCATTCCTTACCGTCTACTATTGAGCACCCCAACACTTCATCTACCTAGTACACAGCCTTCCGCTTCTTTCTCTTTGCTCACACCGCCCCCCACTCGTGTACACAGACATTGTATGACGCTGCTGACAAAGATGAGATTATCAAAGACATAAGGTTTTGCATTTGCTTTTCTCATTCAACAATACATCACCCCAGATCCCTCCAAACACGGGGTCTGCATCTAATCACCGCTTCCGGTGGTGGTACAGCGCTCTGCAGCAAGCCCGACCCGTCACGGACACCAGCGCTCCCACACCGACGGCACATGTGCTACCAACAGGTTTCTACCACCACCAAGTGCACTCGAGGAAAGGCCCAAGGACAGGTGGCTGTGTGGTTTTACTTCTACAGAGCACATTTCCAGGAGTGGCCCTGCTGGAAGGAGGGTTTTGTTTTTGATGTCGCTGATGTGCTGCTTTCCAAACCGGCTGCACAATTCACAGTTCAAACAGCAGTGTTTGATTTTCTGTCATTTCCATGTAAGTCATGCTCTTTCCTTGCTCACTCACACTGCTGGCTCACTGCGGGACCTGGTTACCACGGCCAGACCAACGACACCCAGGTGTGAGACGCTCCCACTTCCAAGGGGTGGACAGAAGCAGCGTGGGCTCCCACGCCCAGAGAGAGGATCTACAACACTAAAATCAACCTCGGTCTTGGAGGAAAAGCTGCAGCACTACCATTTGGTAAGTACTTAACTGCTGTCAATAACACACACGGAAGAAACAGCCTGCTGCAGCCCCGACCCAACAAACTGAAGCGGGGGCGGGGGGGGCAGGCCTTGAGAGCAAACACCAAAGACACGGGACACTAAGAGGCTTGGCTGTAGCTCTTCAGTAGGTCTGTTCTCTCCTCTTCTTTCTTCCATAATTTAAGGGTGATAAAACTGCCAAACTGTAGGTAGAGACCGCCGTTTCTAGCAACGGACCAGACATTCCTCAACACCCCTCAGCTACAGAACACATGGCTCAGCTGCTGTCAGTTTGAACAGCTATGTTCTCCACGCACCGCGGAGCTCTAACAAAAGTAAGGAAAGTAAGGCGAGAGAACACTGCCCTATAGAAGCCCTGAGATTGGCTTACACGGTTGTTTTATGGACACCAGGAGGCGAGTCTGTGGGCCTGCCTACCCAAAGCAGGCTGCTGACCAGCTGAAAATAGGAACCAAGGAGGAATCCCGCCTTCCTGAACCCACTGTTCAGCAGGGAAAACAGTCACCTCTGAGAGTCTGCTCTGCCACACACCCAGGGTGGAACTAGGGATGCTACTTGGCTCCGGAAGCCCAGACAGAAAGTAACTGGAGGGAGTGCCGGGTCCACAGCGCCCCCTTGTGCCAAAAGAAGCAAGTGCAAGCTTCCCCCACAGAAAAGCCGCGGCCTGACTCCCTACAACCAGGTTTGGTCATTACAAGCTCTCAAAAAGGGGTCACCAAATGTACAAGAGAACCAAGCCACCATGCACAAGAGTGGGCAGACACAACAACAGCAGGATTAGACATCCAAGGACTTCAGATTTGGAACTGCAAGACGTGGAATATAAATGTCTACAGAATGTTCAATGGAAACGGGATGCAAAGAACACAAGCAACGAGAGGCTGCCCAAAATGACAGGGGCTTCTGGGAAGCAGGGTGGCAGGGGCCACAGATTTGCGTAAATCTTCCCAAATCACCCCCCCATACAGTCAGGCCAGACAACCCACGGACAGCTCTGACAACAGTGCCACTCTGATTCCACCTGGGGGAGACAGACCACCTCAGACACCCTGAGACCCAAGAGGGAAGCATCGCGCGTGTGACGGGCCAAGGCAGAGCCCCAAGGAGCCCAGCAGTCCTCAATGGAAGCCCAGAAGGCCAGTGTGAGAGCAATGCAGCCCCTGTGAGCACACGGAGCTAACAGCCAGGGTTGAAAAGAAATCAAATCAAGTATTTTAAAAGTGAAAAATATAATCCCTGAAACAACAAAGAGAATTGGAGAGAAGTGATATTTAAAGAGATAATGGCCACAAATTTTCCAGACTGGATCTGCAGGTACAGAAAATACACTATCCGGGGCACCTGGGTGGCTCAGTTGTTAGGCGTCTGCCTTTGGCTTGGGTCATGGTCCCGGGATCCTGGGATCGAGCCCCGCATCGGGCTCCCTGCTCAGCGGGAAGCCTGCTTCTCTCTCTCCCACTCCCCCTGCTTGTGCTCCCTCTCTCGCTGTCTCTCTCTGTCAAATGAATAAAATCTTTAAAAAAGAAAATACAGGGCGCCTGGGTGGCTCAGTTGGTTAAGCGACTGCCTTCGGCTCAGGTCATGATCCTGGAGTCCCAGGATCGAGTCCCACATTGGGCTCCCTGCTCAGCGGGGGGTCTGCTTCTTCCTCTGACCCTCTGACCCTCTTCCCTCTCGTGCTCTCTGTCTCTCATTCTCTCTCTCAAATAAATAAATAAAATCTTAAAAAAAAAAGAAAAAAAGAAAATACAATATCCATGAGGTAAGATTAAACAAACCAGGAATCCATACCTGGACAAGTCAGACAGAAACTGTAGGACCCCAACAGAAAATCTTAAAAGCAGCCGGGGGCGGGGGGGGGGAAGACCACCTATAAGCGAGCAACAGAATACAGCACACTGAACTGCTGCCAGAGAAGCCAGAAGTGGAGAGAGACCAACGCCAAGCTCTAGGAGAGGAACATCACTGCCTCCTCCAGACACGCTTAAGGTAAGACAGACGTGGCCCCCAAGTGTAGACCCAAGCTGGTGAGAAGTAGTATGACTATCACTGGAAAGATACACCCAGGGGTGACTCAGGAAGACCCCCCCCAAGCGCCCCCTCGGGATGTCTGAGCCGTCCTACCCCTCGTCCTATCCACTGTCATGGCAGTGCTGCAGTTTGATGGCTTTCTCTCAGAGGTGTCTGTAACCTCCTTTGCTCGTATCTTCTATCCAAATAGTTTTCAAACACGTAGCTCTCATCTTCTGCAAGCTCGCCACGTGAAGGCGCTGTGCAACCACGTGCAGGCGGCACCGCCACCCACCTGCAGACGTGGCTGGCGAGGCCCAGTAAGGTTAAGTAACTTCCCCAGGCACACGACGCCGAGTGGTGGAGTATGAACACAAGCCACGTAACATTCGCAAGAAATGATGCTCAAGATGCAAAAGCTCTTTACAAGCTGAAAGGAAGGCTATACCTCAGACGACATCAACAACGATGAAAAGCTTTTGCTAATTACAGAGATCGGCAAGTGGCAGGTGCCAGCAAATATTTGTTGAAGAACAAATGAGTGACTGCTGTAAGTGCGTATTTCTTCCCAGATGTACTAATTTGTGAACCTAAAAATGACCACACGAATTGTCAAGACAGCCTATCATTCTGACTGGTAAGCAGGCGCCTGGCTGGCTGCCAGCAAAGTGCAGCGCGAGCAGCCAGCGGCGGCCACAGCAGCCATGCTGCCCCCGCCCAGACAGCGGAGCGCCAAGCCCGCCACTGAGGACCGCAGTCAGGGGTGCACGCCCGAGCGCACACGCAGGTCAGACAGGAGTCCGCAAACCCTCTGCGAAGAGCCAGAGAGTAAACCTCTCCGGCCCCGCAGTCTGCGCCGTCCGTGCCACAGTCGCTCAGCTCTACCGCGGCGGCAGGGACGCGCACAGACGAGTGATGTGGCCGCACTAAACTACAAGAGCGGGGAGCAGCTGCAGGAAGAGGTCTTCACAACCCGGGCACCCCGCTGACGTGACTGACCGCCTCGGAGGAGCTCGAGGGGGTCACGCCACCAGGAAATAGCGTGTGGGCAACAGCCCCCCGACCCAGCCAGCAGTCCCGAGGCAGAACTGCACACCGCTCCGTTCAAGGCCCCTCCCTGCAGAGAAGGTGCTGAGTGTGCAGCTGCACACACACCCCCGAACCCACAGCTCTCGCTCCTCAGTGCTCACGTCACAGTCTGCGAGTCAATCAGCTCAGCACAAAAGGAGCAGCACATCCAGTGTGACCGCTGACTGCCCCACAAGAAATACGGTGGCGTCAAGGGGCGACCGGGCAGAGCCAAGCGGCCCTGGTGGGCCCTGCGGCCACCTGCTCCCACTCCCTGGCGTCCCCTCACAGCACTTACTGGATTTTGAGCAGACTGAGGGATTTAGTCGACGATGCTGTTATCTCTCCAGTCTTGTTTCTATTGATGTAAACTGAGAAGCCGTTATTTTGGAAGCCAAACTCCTTTGCAACCTAAAACAAGCCCCAAAAAAACAGATATTGAAACAAATATTTGAGTATCACTACTCTGGCCAGATATACATCAAATGGTATTAGAACAATGCTCACTAAATTTAGAAACTGCTCCTCGGGAACCAAAATTCTCTCGCGATTTTCTCTCTCGTGAGGAAATTTGTACTGCCCACGCAGATGTCAAGTAAAATGAGAAAAGTGGCCAAACAGAAGCAAAGCTCTGTGTAAATGAGAAGACTACATGACACATTTAAGAGTCTGAGGCAAACAAAAGCCATGGCTGTATCTGGAAAGTTTAATTTCTACTTTTGAAATCAATTGTAAAAACCCAATTCCAGGGGCACCTGGGTGGTTCAGTTGGTGAAGCATCTCCCTTCAGCTCGGGTCATGATCCCAGGGTCCTGGGATCGAGTCCTGCATCAGGCTCCTTGCTCAGCAGGAAGCCTGCCTCTCCCTCTACCCTTCCCCACTGCTCGTGCTCTTTCAAATAAATAAATAAAATTTTTTTAAAAATTTCCAATTTTGAAACCTAAGAGAAGAAAAACAGAAGTGAAGAATGGTGCCACCAAGTCAGTCCTGACGAGTACCCACACCAGGCACTGCACCAGGTGCTGCGAACCCTCACTTGCTGACTCCACAAACAGTAAGCAGTCCCATGTGCCACCTCCATTATGCTCAGAACAATGAATAAAAACAGACAAGGTTCCAGCCATGGAGGACCTCAGCATCAAATGGGGGAGAGAGAGCTAACAGACGAGAACTACAGGTGCAGGTAAGCACCAGGCAGGAAAGGAAGAGAGAGAAGCATGGGAGAGGCCACTCTGGACAGGAGGACAGAGAAGGTCCCTGAGGAGCACATCCGAGCAGAGCCCCAGAGGAGAAAACTGAGGCCGCTACTCACAGAGCAGAGAAAGAATAGTGCAGGCAAGAGGAGCAAGCACAAAGGCCGAGAGGCAGGAAGGGGTTGGGAAGATAGAGGCCAGTCAGGCCACAGCCCAGCCCGTAAGAAGGAAACAGTTGGGAGACAAGAATGGCGAGGCAGACAGGACCGTGTGGGCTATAGGAGGAGCCTGCATGCCAGCCCAGGAGCCGCAGAAGCCACAGGGGCTGACGGCAGGGGGTGGCCAAGCTAGGAGGCTAACTTCTCATGGACACTCTGCTTCAGCAGAGTGGGAAGAGGAACAGGAGAGCCGGCTGTGCAGCCCAGAGACAGGCTCAGACGAGGCCAGGCCAGCGGAGATGGAGGGAGGGGCACACCTTCCGGCTCTTCTAATCAACAGCCCTCGCCAATGTGGGATGAGGGGCAGAATGGAGTGAGGGAAAGGAAGGGCATCAGCGCGGTGTTCAGACTTCTGGTTTGAGAACCTAGAGGAAGGCCACACTGGTAAGGAAGCACAGAAGAGGTGACGGAGGAAGAAGACCTAAGGGAAGGCCAGGCGTCCCCTTCAACACCGAGACTGAGGTGGTGCCCGGCACCCCGGGGAAGACATCAGCAGGCAGTCAGCGTTTGAGTCTGGGGCCGGGAAAGGAATCCAAGCTGTAACTCAAAGTTCAGGGGTCATCAGAGTAGAGGCAAACACACGAAGAGACCAGGAGTCTCAGCAGAGAAACAAACGATAAAATGGAATCAAATAAAAATTCTACAACAGGAAATAGTAACGGAAAGGGAAACACTGGATGGGCTTCTCAGCAGACGGGAGATGCAGAAGGAGGAGTCGATCAGTCTGAAGACAAATTACGAGAATCTGCACAATCTGAAGACGAAGATTTGAAAGAAAAATGAAGAGAACCTTAAGAACTCCTAGGACAATATCTAATGATCCTAAGGACAATAAAATAAGGAAAGGACTGAAAAGTATTTGAAGAACAAATGGTTGAAAACCTCAAACGTGATGACAAACACAGAGTAACGAATCCAGGAAGTTCAGGACCCCCCCCCCACCCTGAGTGGGATACATAAAAAAAAGATCCCTCAGTGCATGCATCAGGGTCAAAACGCTGACAACCAGAGATCAATGGAGACCAGAAGACAATAGAATGACATCTTCAAAGTGCTGAGAGGGAATAAAAATCTGTCAACTCAGAATTCTGTATCTGGCAAAAATACCCTTTGAATACAAAGGCAAACTGAAAACGTTTTCAGGCCAACAAAACCTGAGGGAGCGTGTCAACAGCAAGCCTCTGCTTCGGTAAATGGCAGGAGACATTCTTCAAGCTGAGGAACAAGACACCAGACCTAGTCAGAGAGCCAGAGAAAACACCGGAGAACACATAAGGCAGAGACTAGGACAAGAGCTCTGAACTACACAACCTGAAACCATCACATTAAATATTCTCTGATTGGTTTTCAAAAGAGAATTGCAGTCAACTATACTCGAATAAATAATTAATAAATAGAGAAACGAAGGGGGCAGGGGTGTCATGAGAATTCTGACAGAGACAACGCAGGTCAGGGATGAGACCAGAGAGGAGCTCTGCGTGTTTCCCTGAGTCAACCAAATACCACATTTATGCCTAGTTCTACCTGTTGCTTTTCAGTTCATTTCTCCTTTAATGTGGAATTACTGATAAAACCTATTTATTTACTATGAGAAAAAAGAGTTGATTTAATGATTAGCTTTACATACTAACCTCATTTCCTACTGATTTTAAATGAATGGATTACAAGTAACTCCACCTTGTCATTCTGAAATTCTCAAAGTGATAATAAGAAATGGTCCTTAAAACAAACAAGATTTGGGGCGCCTGGCTGGCTCAGTCGGTGGAGTGTAACTCTTGTTCTTGGGATTATGGGTTCAGGCCCCACATAGAGTGTAGGGATTACTTAAAATTTTTTAAAAATCTGAGGCACCTGAGTGGCTGTCGGTTAAGCAACTGCTTTCAGCTCAGGTCATGATCCCAGGGTCCTGGGATCAAGCCCCAAATTGGGCTCCCTGCTCAGCAGGAAGCCTGCTTCCCCCTTTCCCACTCCCTCTGCTTGTGTTCCCTCTCTTGCTGTCTCTCTGCCAGATAAATAAAATCTTAAAAAAGAAAAAATTTTGAAAAGCTTTTAAAAAATTTTATTTAAAAAAAATAAAATAAAACAAGAAAGATCTTATATCAAATGAACTTAAAATAAGTATTTGAGGGGCGCCTGGGTGGCTCAGTCGTTAAGCGTCTGCCTTCGGCTCAGGTCATGGTCCCAGGGTCCTGGGATCGAGCCCCGCATCGGGCTCCCTACTCCGCGGGAAGCCTGCTTCTCCCTCTCCCACTCCCCCTGCTTGTGTTCCCTCTCTCGCTGTGTCTCCTCTGCCAAATAAATAAATAAAATCTTTTACAAAATTAATAAATAAAATAGTAAAATAAGTATTTGATACCATGTATTTTTGTCCCAAGGTAAAAGTGGCATTAATGAAATAAAGCATCAGCCAATTAAGACCATGAAATTTGTATTCCCGACTGCAAAAAAAGTTAAGACTAAAGAATAAAAATAATGTCTTTGGCTTTTCTCTGAAATAGCTTAGATGTAAACTGCAATTAACCAATTGTGGCATTTTAGCTATTTTGCAAACGCATCGTGTTTTTCTGTACCCGACACCCTGCAAGCTATTTCCAAAAACGAGAAAGCTTTCGCCAGAAGTGTGAGCTTCATGAAAGCTACCACATTACTCCCAGGATGAAAAGGAGTTTCCAAAATGGGGCAGGGGCTGTTGTAGGGCCAGCCCTTTGTATAAAGGTAAGTCCCCTGGGACCACATGACGATTATGCTCCCCGTGAGGACTAAGATACAGCTGCTTTTTTTTTTTAAAGATTTATTTATTTATCTTAGAGCGAGAGCGAGAGAGAGAGAGAGCGCGCGCACGCGCATGCGCACGAGAGAGAGCAAGAGAGCACACAGGGGAAGGAGCTGAGGGAGAGAGAATCTCCAGCAGGCCCCACGCGGAGCACGGAGCCCGATGTGGGGCTCAATCTCACGACCAGGCGATCATGACCTGAGCCAAAACCAAGAGTCAGCCGCTTAACGGACTGCACCACCCAGGCGCCCCCAGCTGCATTTTCAAATATGACAGGCAGCATTAGGACTTCACGTGTGGAATCCCACTTCTGAGACCCAGAAATGGATTATTACTTTTTTATGCTACTCCCATGACCGTAACTGCTTCTATGAACTTTTGAGTTCTTTATCTGAAGACACAGGAATCTAAGACAGGGCAGCAACCATTTAAAAGAAAAAATCTTAGCAGAGTCTCACAACAGCATCATTAAAATCTTAAACACGGGGGCACCTGGGTGGCACAGTCGCTTGAGCGTCCAACTCCTGATTTCAGCTCAGGTCATGATCTCAGGGTCGGGAGACCGAGCTCTGCGGAGTCTGCTTAAGATTCTCTCCTTCTCCCTCTGCCCCCGCCCCATGCACACTCTCACACTTTCTCTCTCTTAAATAAATAAATAGATCTTAAAAATCTTAACCTTATTTTCACACCTGAGGTAAACTTTGTGTATAACTGATGAAATAAAACCAGAAACACAGCATGGAATGAAATTAATACACTTATAATTAAAGGTAACAAAAAAGAATACACAGCAGGATTCCATTCATGTTAAATTCAAAAACAGGCAAAACTACAATTTAGGGTTTAGGAATGCACGCTGAGGTGGCACAACACAAGTAAGGAGGAAGCCACCCTCGCCAACGCAGGAGGGAGTGAGGGAGTGGGGAAGGCTGACCAGCTCTGCAGCACCAGCCATGCCCCTCCTTGACCTATGTGTTTGCTTTACCATCAGTCATTTGTCCATATTTTTCAAGCATTTCTTAGTATGTACTTTACTTCATGGTTAAAAAAAAAAATTAAATATAAGGAGAAAAGAGCGGGTCACAGACTGCTGAGGTCAATGAGGACAGGACAAAGCCGTCCTCTAGGCTGAGCAGGGGAGAGACAGCAGCCCCACACAGTGAGCTGAGGAAGGGGGGCTGCTGCTGAGCAAGACACAGCCAGAAGAACCCAAGAAGGGCTGAGGGTCTGAGGAGCCACAGAATGAACAGCACCATTGGTCTTAAAAGAACCAACAACTCTAAAATTCTGTGAGATCTCCTCAATGTCACCCATCTCTTCATACTTGCAAACAGCAATTCCTAAGAGGGCATAATGCCACATAGTAAAGCAGGATCAAGGCTTAAAATGTGGGGAACAGCAAGCTGGAGCCAGCACGTTCACAGTGGTCAACCCACAAGTCTGTTTCAAGCCCACTTATGCGTATGCATAACCAAATTACTAATTATTGAAGATGAGTATGATCAACTTAATAAGATACCTGAAGGGGTCATAAAGACACAAAATAGAACAGTAGTTACCAAGGACTGGGGGCAGGGAAAAAAAGGGGAGCTGTTGTTTGATGCATACGGTTTCAGATTTGCAAGATGAAAAAGTTCTGGAAATGGATGGTAGTAATGACTGCATTACATGAATGTACTTAACACGACTGAACTGTAGTCTTAAAATGGTTTAGACCGGGGGTGCCCGGCTGGCTCAGTTGGAGAAGCACACAACTCTTGACCTCAGGGTTGTGAGTTCAAGCCCCATGGTGGGTACAGAGATTACTTTACTTTAAAAATTGGTTTAACCAGGGGGCGCCTGGGTGGCTCAGTCGTTAAGCGTCTGCCTTCGGCTCAGGTCATGATCCCAGGGTCCTGGGATCAAGCCCCGCATCGGGCTCCC